GCGGCATCGAAAAGCGTGCAGCACTGGTTGAATTCTTGGTCGGTGCAAAGGCACAAGTCGCGAAGCTTTCTCTCGAGCAACTCTATGGCCATTTAATAGGAATACAGGATAATACGAGTCTGATCTCGATTTTTGGAGTCATTTGAAGCTCGTCATAGTCAAATACACTATTATATGCAGCGGAGGAACAGCTTCGCGCGCGATTAGTAATTGGAAGTCATTTGCATATTGAAAGCCAGAGATATGTCCTTTAAATCCAATCAAATTGACACATACTTTCAAGGGTAAACTATGGTTGCAGAGTACTATTATCTTGCTTATAATACAATTTGATGCATCTACACAGGGTATAGATGTCGAGAGTTCGCTCGGTCACCGCAATTCCGCTGTTCCCGCACTATCTCGACCACACTACCTGCCGCCTGTGTGGAAAGTGATAAGCAAATATGTATGCAGTGGTGCAGTAGGCGACTGCTGTATGTTTTATTTTATTCCTATGTCTTTGTAATGCAAATACACACCTCCGACTCAGTGATACAATCTATCGGTAATGCTGAACACGGCCCGTCTTCTCCTGATCACAAAAAGGTGATTCTATTGATTGCACAATGAAAAGGTGACTATGTACATAGATAGTTCTCGTAATACACAGAAGAGAAGGGGCGGGACGCGGGAGGGAGCGTCACCGTCGTTGGGGGCGGGACGGGACGCTGAGGGGCGCGCCTTCCCGAACGGGAAGACGGGATGGGCTCGCTGGGCGTCGGGGCGCACGAAACACGTATGATTTCCTGTTCTAGAAGAGGCAGCGGGCTCTCTGGGCGTCGGGGCGCACGACATAGTGAAAACTTCTCATTCGGGGAATAGGTGTGGGCTGGTTGGGCCAGTCCGACGCAGCAGGGAGGAGACAGGCAGGCTCTTCCCGATCGGGAAGGCCACGCGCGGGCTGGCCCGTGTGGGCGCCCTATTCCGCCGTAGTAAGCGACTTAGGGCTGCATATGCCCCCCTATACACGGGCCTAAGCCGATATCAAGACTAAGAGGTACTGGTGGTTTCCCTAATAACTAACATCTGCACATCCCACAGTGATAAGTAATCTCACAGTACAAATTCTCCTCATACACGAATATACTGCAGACCTCCATGAAAGCCTCCGGCTCCAGACCATCCAGCACAGGCCCAAGTTCCGCTAACAAAGCAGCAGAACGCGACGCGGCGGTACGTCTTTCGGCACACGACATAGTACATGCACTCAATCGGCACAGGCGCTATACGCGAAGGGCGCACAGGCGGAGCTCTGCAAGCGCTATGACGCCGCGTTCCGCGCGTACGTCGATGCGGGCGCGGCGTTCTTGCGCCTCGGGCTGCGCGCGGAGGCGGGCAAGGCGCTCGGGCGCGCGGAGAAGATCAAGGCGGCGCGGCAGGGGATGGGGCTTGCGCCTGTTGTGCGCGATCCGCTGTCGGAAGGTGCGTTTCGCAAGGGAGTGGGGATTGTGGTCTGCAGAGCGTAGCTGACACGCGGGGTGAAGATGAGCAACGGCTTGTGCTGAAGAGGGGCGCGAATGTGAATGGCCTGCGCGTGCCGCTGTGGGAGGAGGGTGAGGGCGCGAGTGATGCGCTAGAGTCGGGAATGGCGTATACGTACGTGGCCCATGCTTGTTTGCTTTCGTCCGGATCGTGCAGGTTTAATGCAGAGCAGGGATCCAGATGGTCTATTGAAACTCTCCCCTGAGCAGGAGCGACTGTCCACCGTCTGGCACAGGCCGGGAGACGTGCTCGGTCAGATCACATTGCAGTCGGAGAATATCAGCCCTGAGGATGTCGTACAGCGTGTAGTTGAGGACTGCTCCCTGTGCGGGTCGCTTGCAGTTTGTTTGGGATATAATGCGAGGCATCGTGCGAAGGTGACTTCTTCCACTCCCCTTGCCTGCCTTAGTATTCAATGATCCAAAGGCGATGTTGCCGTCGTTATTTCCGTGCACTACTAATGGACAGCCGGGAGTCTCGCCGGTGGGAAAGTATGATTTGAAGGTGTGGTTCAATGGCGCGCACAGACGAGTAAGTTCCCCATCCCTTTCAGCCGGGCGTCTTTTCTGAAATTGGTATAGATATGTGAGTTGCATGTATCCACCGGTGAGGTAAGGCCCTGACATTGTCAGTAGCGATCGACGACCAACTCCCATTCGATCCAAACGGGAGCCCCATGTGCTTGTCGACCGTCAGACCGTCCGAACTGTGGCCATCCTTGGTCGAGAAAGCCGTAAGTCATGGCTCGCGATCTCCATTGCGCAGCCAGCTGATAGTACTCTGACAGTATCTGAAACTGATGGGCGGCTACGATTTCCCTGGGTCGTGAGTCTTCCGCGAGCATCGACGTCTGCGCTGCGGTTCATTCCTTGTGCTAGGAACTCGAGCATCGATATTCAGTAAGTGAGGACTTACCATTATATCCTGGATATGACTTGTTGACTGAGTGTAGCACGCTTTCTGGCTGGATTCCGGATCATATTGAGATCAGAGGGTAATTCTGAATTCACATCCATTCGTTTACTATTTGCACTAATAGGCGCGCTCGCAGACCATCATTTCAGCGAGAACATACGTGGTTGAAGATATATCAGTCTTTCCAAGCAGGTAGTCATAAACATTGTGTCGCTGCTTGTGCTGATCGCTGATTCTTCTGGATCTGTCAGGTGAGACGGTTCTCACCGCAGGGACTGGACATCGGCCATCAATCTCCTGGAGGAATATTGAGCTACTAACAGCGCATAGTTATGCGATTTTTGGTTGGTTTCCTGGATCGCCGTTTGAATCAACCTGACGAACTCCCCAGATCTCCGCGAGGACGGTGGCGGAGAACGATATTTGACGATAATCGACTCCTTGAAGTCGAGGCAAACGATCGACCACGCTCTCGCGCGATTGACGCTGGAGAAAGACGCAGAGCGGCCAGGTGAAAATTATTGCTTGATCATTAATGTGAGGTACTAATCATCTGCTTAGTAGAGAAGGTAGAAATGACTTGGGACGACTTCTGCAATATGTTCGACAGCATCTACGTCAGTTGGGATCCCAGCATGTTCGCGCACACCGTGCATTTTCACGGGTTCGTCTATGGTTCGTTGTAGTTACGAGATTGTGCTCATCTATAGCTAGGATGTGGAGGCCCTCACGCTTATCCGACGCGGATAAAGAAGACTGTGCGTCCGTCGTTTCCCAAAAAGTATGCCATGCTGACACCTGGTATTTAGCGTCGCAGCAGGTCTTCCGTCTGAAGCCTGATCAAGCAATTACCAAGATACCCCCGCAGAGTGATGTATGGATACTACTGACAAGACATAGAAACGATACCCGCAAAGTTTCAGACTATATATCCTTGCACGTCGAAGAGACCAGCGACTCGATGAAAGCTAATACAACTCACTTGGCGTCCGACCGACCGGCTGTACGCTTTCGCCTCCACTTTGACTTTCCTGTGCTGAAGGTAGATCTAGGGTACATATACGAACAGCCCACACGTCCTGGTACGCCATTCACTCGGCACCATCCTCGAGGTATATCCGCTCAATCGAATTTCAGGTCAAAACCTCGCTCTCTGAAGCATCTACTGCTTTCCTCGTCACAGCCCTCTGCGACGGGACCGACGAAGACGTCGGCTTCACTCTCACGGCATATTCTTCGCTGTCGATGCACTGGGAAAGTGCCATCGAGAAATTGCCCTTTGACCTCAAGGCAAGCCTACTCCCCCATCATATTGCCCAATATGCTCAGGTACTCACGTCGTTTCCGGACAGATCAACGGCTCTTTCACATCCCGAACGTCCGGGGGCAACCACACCCTCCCGTCATACATGACGAACCCCCAATACCATCTCAAAATCCCAGACACGCGCGGCGGCCCCCGGTCTAAAGCGCGGCTGCTACTGACAATGCGGGCGGCGAAGGAGCTGGCACTGAACGTGGCTATTGTGTGGGGGCATGGAAAGCGGGTCTTCGAGTGAGTGGGGGCTAGATGTCGGTTTTGATATGACCGGATAACCATTGGGATGTGTGCTGTAGCCTTGTCTCTAATGACGTCGCTGCGACTTCGGGGGCATACAGCTATGGAAGAGCGCATACTGAAGTCGAGCTCCTTCGTGGGTCGTTTCTGTATATCCATCGACACAGGCCAGCTGATGTGATATAGCGGGCGACTACACGGTCGTCGTGTCAACCTTCGACGCGTCACAGCAGGGACCGTTTTCACTGCGCATCGAGAGCTCGCATGATGTGCGGCTGCAGCCGATACCGCAGGAAGGTGCGGGGATGTTCGTGAAGACTGTACGAGGGCAATGGTACGTGAAGTGCACTGCGTGCACTCATTGGGAGAGGTTGGGTCTGATATGCGTTCTTGTCTCCAGGTCTGGATCGACTGCTGGAGGGTCTGCGAAATTCAATAGTTATACCTCAAATCCGTTCTTCGAACTCCACGTGCCATCTGCGTCGGAAATTATGTACGTTGTGCCTCTTTCACCCCATGCCTTGGGACACTGGGCTGAACTGGTACCCCTTAGGGTCCGCCTGCAATCTATGGCAAAGTCTACATTTATCAACGTCTCCGTCTTCTTCGCGCCCACCTCGACACCATCGTCATCCCTGCCTCGGCACCTCGACAAGCTGCTCGTCTCGTCAGGCCCTTATGCAGATGCGGTCTCAGGTGCAGTAACGCAGCTAGCACCTGCTCCAGCTGGGCGGTACATCATCGTACCCTCGACATACGATGTGGGCGTGGAGGCGGAGTTTAGGATTGTAGTGTATAGCTCGAAGACGAGTGTGGATGTTATGCATGTTGGGTGATGGGGGTCCATCTACTATGTATGTGGGTGGGCAATTTGATTGTGTGGGTATGTAGTCTGAATAGTGTACTCGAGTACGATGTCCCGTGGACTCATGGAAATCAAATGTCCGCGATGGTTCTCATCTGTAACATATTGGCATGTGACCATTGAAACAGCTCACAACATGGTTTGATGGCGTAGTTGGTTATCGCATCTGTCTAACATGAGAGCACAGAAGGTCCGCGGTTCGAGCCCGCGTCAAATCATGTGTTATTGGTCGACTTTTTTTTGGTCCTGACACATGGCGCGTCTTCAATCCTTTATTCATCATGAACTCGGAACTCGGAATGAATTTGTCCAATGGTACACACTACATTCTACTTCTTTCCAACCTGCCGCATGCGCCTCGTCGTAAAGCTCGCCAAATGCCCCGCATCGGGGTTGCCGGTACAGTCCCGCAGGACGAGCTTCTCAAGCGCGGCCCCGCGCTCCTTGCGATACTTGAGGAACTGCTCGAGGGGCCAGAAGTCCCCGTCGATGCCTTCGCTCAGCGTCGCGTCTGCGATGACGAGCTTCTTCAGTTCGGGGAGGGGGTGTGTGGGTTTCTTCTTCTGCTTCTTCGTCTTCTTCTGCCCGTTGGCGGGCAGGGTCGTATCGGTGGGCGGATCCGCGCTGGGTGCGTCAGGGGGCGGAGCCGCGTTTCGTGCGTCCGCGGGTGAAGTCGTCGCCCGCCCTTGAGCGGGTGGTGGCGGCGAGGGTGGAATAGCTCTGGAACTGCTCGCGGCGTTGAGAGGCGCGTGTACGCCGTGCGATATTCGCAGTTCTCGCACACCCGTCATGAGACGGAATATTCTCGCCCAGTCGAGTTGCCAGAATGGCGTCGGGAAGCGGTCGCTGACGGACAGCACGGGGGTGCCTGCGATACCAAGTCCCTTGATCATCGCGCAAAAGCCCGCCGTGAAGAAATATGGAGTGGGTAAGAACAGGCGTCCGGAAAGGTCGAGCTGGAATGAGAAGTGGGCTGCGGTGTATGGTGGCGCGTCGAGGATCGTGATCGGGAGCGGGTCGCACCAGCACGCGATGTGGGATTTGCCGTGGTCCGTCTGGATGTCGACGCGCGAGACCTTCGAGCGCGAGATGCGGGGGTGGGACTGGAGGAGCGCTTCGGAGAGCTGGGTCCAGTGCTCGGGTTTCGGCGCCTCCTTGGGGGTAAAGCGCACGTGCACGGATGCCGTCGCGGGGATGCGGAGATGCTGCACGAGGTGGCAGACGTGGAGATAGTGGGTGGAGGTGATCCGGACGGTCGTTAGATTCGGTAGGTCCGCCGTGTATTCTGGAGGGTCCGTGCGGTGCATCTCGATCAAGTGCTGGATGTCGAGCGTTTCCAGCGCGGGCATCGACTGCAATGCTTTGAGAATGTAATCCAGGTGCGAGTAAGCTGCGTCGACATGTGTAAGATGGCGGATCTGGTGAGGTTTCGGAAGCTGACTCTGCATAAGGAAGCTCCCAGCAACGTGCAAGGTGTGAAGCTTGGGGTAGCGTCCCGAGAACATGAGGTCCATCCCCAAGACCAGAATAATCACGTTCACGTGACCATTGACGGTGAGGGGATACCACGGCTCCGGCATCTCGACACTGAAGTCTTCAAGGATTTCTGCAGGAGAGTTGTAAACGAAGTTCTTCAAGTGTCTGCTCATCGGCGCAACATATCCCCGGAGGTAAAGCTTCCGTACGCGGTGCATCTTCCTGCCCAGCCAATCTAGGAAAGACCTCTGCGCCTCCTCCTGCGTCATGACGCCGTCTACGAAGCGCACAGGCCGCACAGGTTTGATCTCGTACTCGACGTCGACCGGCATCGGGTCCGAGCGATTGATGAAGTGCCCGGCCCACCTCAAGGATAGATCGATAGTGACGTCTTGCCATAACCTGCGGTCCTTTAGCGCAATTTCGCGCCACTGACCGCACACGTAGGTTATGGCAATCCACTTGGGAGCGCTGCGAGTCGCTACGGCGTGCTGGCTGGTGTCCCGGAGGGTGCAGAAGGCGAAAATCTGACAAAGCAGTTCGGGTGGGAGACGAGATACGGGCGATCGTGGGGGAGGGATCAGCGCTAGCTTTGCCATGTCGCACTTCAGGTTGGGACTCATAGACACAAACACCGGCGTATGCGAATGGGCAGTCAACGTAGCTGTAAGCAGATCATTGTTAGAAGTGAGTCTTATACCGCCTTAAGAAGCACACACGTGAATGGAAGGACGAAGTGCGAGATATTTCGCGGCGGTGCTTTGCCCTCGCTTTGTTCTATGCGGGAGGTCTTCGGGTTGTTATCATTGCCGCAACCTCGCCCTGTTCATGATATGTCAGTTACTACATATGTCAACTCATAATCCGTCCATGAAAGAACCATACCTGGAGTCCCGATGAAGTAGCCGCGCCACCCCCACGTAGCCGACTATGCTCCCGACAGTGGTGCGGCTGCCCTGCATTTGGAAGATACCCAATATATTATTTACTATGTCAGACAAGTAATGACAGGGAGCACAGAGGGGACAAACGCACCAAACACTTGTCCGGGTGGTGGAGGACAAGGGGAGAAGCTCGAGACACGGCAATTAGCGCGCGCAGCCGTTAAATACAAAGACTCTGAGATTGCTTCACACAGTCACGCGCTTGTCTTCCTTTGTCCTCCTCCACGTGCGCGGGGTCGTGATACCTCTGGCTAACAGTCAATTGGGCATACCATCGACTCTGCGCCTTCCAAAGGCCTGGAGGCTATGGAGGACACCCCATACAAGGGAAAGAACTCTAATATCAAGATACGCATACGTCAGTAATGAGCGCTTCAAACTGCTGACGTCCTGCACTCCACCGGCAGCGTCAACTTCAACGGCAATCGTAGGTCAAACGAAATGGCGTCTGTCGAATCAATCTAACATTCTTGCTCCAGATACTTTGATATGTAAGGTAGCGCTCGCAAACTGATATACACCACCTGTTGCCCTGCCCTCTTGTTCGCCGCGCGGGATGCTCGCACCGCTGCGCGCGGAAAGCCAAAGGAAGCAGGTGCATCATGCCGGCAGCTCGAATTTTTGCCCCTGCAGTACTCTGCGCAGAATGCAGACATGTCAGTCTATGAGCGAATGGAAGAGGGGTATGCGACGCACTTCGTGAAGTAGACGTAGAAGAAGTCCACGTAGAGCGCAGTCTGCACCAGACCCGCCGTCACTGCTATAGGATCTACAAGGCCCTCCGAGAAATATCTGGCAGACCACATGAGCCTCACACGTAAAACAGCAGAGATAGCAGGACTGACCTATATATCCAATTGGGAACATACAATGCCCTATACGCGCCCAATGCCGCCAGGTAGTGTGTGGTGATAGTCTCCGCCTCGCCCGTGCGCTGGAGCATGAAGAGCTGGGGGAGAATTGCGACGGCCTCGACGAAGATAGAGAACGACCAGAGAATCTCCGTCACGGAGTACGAGTAGTTGAAAATAAGGGCAAGAATGATTGACGGTCCGACGAGGTATTCCAGGCGGAACGTGTCGATTGACGGGTCATTAGTCGGGCTGCAAGTCAAAACGGTACTCTTTTAGTGCAAGAGGGCACACGAGATAAAAGAGCAGACGCACCGGAACTTGAACTTCATGAGGTACAGGATGTACACGCTGCTGCCGATGAAGAACAGCTTCATGACGAAGTTATACAGCGAGACCCATGACCAGAGGAGGTCGAGGTAGCGCGTGACGAACACTGCGACGTACAGCGCCTGGGTCTTGAACGAGATGCCTGCGTCGCGAGCGGGTGCGTGAGCCGTGCCGTTGCCGTCGCAAAAGCGGTAAGCCGGACGCACCTCGACATGACCGGGTCGTCTGGATTTTGTGCAGCAGAATAAATATGGACGCAAGATGCGACAGGTCGCCTAGAGCACATCACGCATGTTAGCGCACCGCAGCAGCAGCGCAGGGCTCCTACGTGGTGCCCTGACACGCGAACGGGCGCACGCACCAAGAAGCCGGAAAATGTTCATGGCGCCTAGAGTCGTCTCCCTCGAGTCAAGTGCAGTATACGACGGTCGAAGCTAGGCGAAGTATGCGGCGGCGGGAGGAGAGGAGCGTGCGGGCGTATAACGTGTCGGGCGTGTCGACCTGGGCGACGTGTCCGAGGACGAGGCGATGTTGATGTCTGTTTGGCCAGACACGTCCGTGCCTCCACTGTGGCCATGGCCAGTGCGTCTCCAAGTTTTCCCCATTTCTATAGTCACCGAAATCAGATTTGCAACACGCAATGACAAGTTCAAGGGTATCTCTATTACAGCATGGGACGCTAAAGTGTTACATGACCGTACCTACACACAGACCGGCGAATAATCATGGAATAAGTTAGGTACAGCACGGAGCGACGCTACCGCCGTTCCATGTGCACGAAGAACGAAGCTGCCGCCTCAAAATTAGAAGTGACTGAATCGGCTCTTCGGCACGATCAGCCCAGAAATGGTCTTCTGGAATGCCGTCTCCGCCTCATCCTCCAATACAAATGATTCTGGTCGGTTACGGTTGAACGGTTGGGGGAACACTCGATGTTGAAAGTAAGCAGCAGGGGGGCTTCAAAGAGAATGGTTCAGCTACACGCTGCAGACATATGCAAAGAGGGGGGAAACGCACATGAGGCTAAGCGATACAGCGATGATAATTTGGCTAGATATTGGCATATTGAATCCGGTGTGCAGATCCTGAAATAGCGCGAACGAGCGTTAGCATCGCGTAGACATAGCAACACATACTAGCATCCCAGGCCGACGTACAGCTAAGTGAGAATCATTTTGGTCGAACAGAAATCGCAAGCCACGGCTCCATCCGTCTTGCCTGTTGGTGAGTAAATCGACGCCCAAGCCTATAAGGAAAGATCCCGCAGAGGCGGAACCGACGAGCTAAATACGACCCAGTTAATCAGCGTCCGAGACGAGGATCTACGAAACATGCTCACAATCCCGATACGCTGCTTGAAGGGTATTACAGCGCCGCCTAACGCGGCACACACAGCAACAATGACCCAGTTGACGGCAAACAGGGATGGTTGGGAGAGGAGCAGATTGTCCTTCACTATGACTATGCGAATCCCAATTGCGAGGCCGCCAATGATGCCCAGGATCGTAATTGCGCCTAGCCGCATGATAGGCAGGAATCCGAGGACCAAGCCGACGAGCATGAAGGCTAGCACGATAAGTGTGAGGGGCAGATCTGGAATTCCCGGTGCAGACACGG